GTAAGTCTTGCCCTTAATCCCTTCTGGTCAGCTGGTTTTTTCATTCACAGTTTGATTATCTCTCTCGATCAATTTTCTTCGTCTTCAATGTGTAATCTGGTTTCTGTATCTTATGTGTTGTTTTGGTAAATGTTTTATCTACATTTTCCAGTTTCTATGGTTCCCCAGTTTGTTTTTTTGCCTAATACCCCAAAATTCTCTTCCAGCAGTATTAGTCCCAGACTTGAATCCTGTTTTTCTGATATTCTTTCCATCAGATGCTTTCTTCTCTGGTAGCATGGTTTCTTCCCAGTTTCTGTCTTACGTTTCATTTTCTCTGACTTCCGATATAGGATCCACTTTTTGTTTTGAGCAAGACTTTAACGCTTCTTGTTTTTTTTACCATTTTTGTCATTAGTCCACCTACTTGGGTCTGTTGTTCATCTCTCTGTCCTGAGTTCCACTTCTCACGCCATTTCTGCCATTTGTCCGCCTCCTCATCAATCTTCATTATGAATTTTGTCATTTCCGCCATTTGGTTCATCCAATTCTAGGATACTCTTGCTATTTCCTGTTTTCCCAGAACTGTCTGTGTTTCCATCTGTCTCAAGGTTTTCATGGATAAATGTCTTTTTACTCTTCTCTATGGAACAATCTATTTCTGCAATAGTATCCTGGCTTCCTGGTTTTGCATTGTTTTTCTGTGTCTGCACATACGATTCTTGTCTTGTCATGAAATTTTTTTCTTCTATTTCTTTCTGTAGTGCTTTCAATTCCTCCTTCAGAGCTTGTTCCTCTATCTCCATTGCTGCATGCATCTTTATCAGCAATATTCCTTCTTAAATTAAATCCTGTTTCTTTGGTACCATTGATTTGTTGTAATTCTTGTTTTCTCGTTCTCTTGTCTGCATGAGCTCTTCTGATCTCCTCCTCTTCTTTCTGTTCCTTGTTTAGTTGTTCACCATGTTCTTGTAATAATCTTTACTGCATTTCTTCAAATGCTGGTGAAACACTTCTCAACATGTCCCAAAACAACTTTTCTGCTCTATGGATCCCAAATACAGCATACAGCGCTAACTCTCTTTTCTAGCTGATCCTGAGATGCCCAAATACAGCATCCATTTCATGTTTTTATCTGGGATTGTTTTCCATTCGTAGTTTATCAAATGGGTTTCCAAATTCTCGCACCATTCAAAAATTTTTCCAGTTTCCATTATATTTGATAGCATTCTCAACAAAACTCTGTATTCTCTCTTCAATAATGTCCTCACATTTGCTTATCTCTTCTTGTAGTTCTTCGTAAAAAGCCTTCTTCAGGTATGCTTTCCCAGCTTCATACAGATCAGCCTCATATTTGCTTAGCTCTTCATAAGCAAACTTATTCAGGTTTATTCTCCCAGCTTCAACCATTTCCTTTAGATGCTCCATGCATTCTTGGGTTTCATCCATCTTTTTATTCCACTCCAACATTGTTTTCAATCTTGCAATCTTTTCTATTATTTTTAACTCTTGTCCCCTTCTCCACTTCAGGCCTTCCATTCCCTTGATTTCAAGTTCTTGTTCTGCTCTCTGCCTTATGGCTTCCAATTCCTTGCATCAACAGTTTCCACCTGCTTTTCCGGTGTTCTTCATGTTTGGTATTCTGATGTCTCTTATGTCTGGTTCTTCGCTGTGTTCTAACTTCTCTAGGTTACAATTTTAAAACTGTCCTTCGTTTCACTCTAGTACACTATACACAACTTGTTGCTTCCTTCCAAGATCAAACAGAACTAATTATCCGATTCTAATTAAATGCCACACAGGCAATATCTCAACCAGGCTTAACTCTCTAGTTTTAAAGGACACGCAGTCCAAATCTCAACTCATATAATTCAAGCTATCTTTCAAGCTATATTTGATTCAATTGCCAATTATAAAGGCAAGATCTACGCTTGTGTGTTTCAACCAGAACCCAACCTATCTTTCAAGCTATATTCGATTCAATGCTAAATCAACTAGCAATGATATGCGCTCATATGTTTCAACAAGAACTAAAGTTTTGTTCCAAGCTTCTGATAACATAATCAAAAGGCTAGTCTCAATCAACTAACTTTATTTGATAGCTTATGTTACAAAGTGAACAGGAATTGGCGTAATTCAATTCCAACGATGTTATTGATATCACATGATTAAGACCATCGTATTACATATTTATTGCACAGTTAAAGTTTAAGATGCATATTTAAAGGATTAAAGAGAATAGATATAACACAGCTAGTCAATATCTGCCAATATTTTTTAGTGTATTTTAAATATGTCGCATGATTTGAGCTATGCATATATTCGATTTAAACACAGTTTCAATGAATAATCTCATTATGTCTATGTTTAAAACATTAAATTAATTATGACGTACAGGGTGTCCCAAAAAACATGGGAATTCAGTGACGAATTCGAAATCGTCTTTGTTATGAATTAGCAATGTAATACCTAATTTCAAAAGCAATGATACTATGTCTGCTAGAGTTTATTTTATGAAAAGGGTAAAAGACTGTTAAGATGTGTCTATAATGTCTCCGCAAGATGAACAGTGAAAACGGACAAGTTTACTCTGTTTGTATACTGTAATTTTCTTGTTTTACTAAGTACACGCTTATGCAGTCAAAATATAAACAAACAAATTTTAACCATAGCAGACGAGACTTTTACAGACTAGAGCTTTCTCAGTAGGTATCACTATACTAAATCAAAGAATTATTTAAAAAGACGATAACGAATTGGTCACTGAATTCTCATGTTTATTGGGGCACCCTTTACAATGCACTGCAAGTTACATGCTTTACATGTTTACATGCTTTTTGCTTCAGTAAGACGAAAATTGACATGGCCTAAACAAGGATGAATGTTTAAGCTAAACTTTTTTTGTGGGAGGAGAAGGGTGGGTAGTTGGCTGCCTTATATTGTCTTAACCAGGGGGGAGGAGACTTTAAAAAGAGAAACTTGCAAGGCAAACAATGAAAAAAATGGTAACAAATAGGTATAAAAATAACATAAACATGTACACTGACAGGATATAATGTAAGAAGTTTTCATCAATTACCCAACCAACATTCATTAATAGAATACCTTTCTTTACACTTCAAACTCATGATTAATGCTTCCATCAAACAAATTTCAAATATAGAGGTGGTGAATCCCTGCTCCAGCCCCCTCCAACTTTTGCCCCACCAGGACTGTAAAAGATTTAAAATGTTAAAATTTCAAAAATATTTCATACCTTGCATTGTTAATTCTTCGTAAACGTGAAGAAAAATTCTCAAAAAATTTCATTTTTCATGACGCTTCCTGCACGATTTATCATTACTTTTCAGAAATATTTTCACCATAACCTCACATTTCCAAAAACTGCATTTTTTAGCTAAAATCTGCTGATTAATATTTTATGGCGTTAATTACTTTTCGGATAAAATTCTATGAGAGGAGCGGGGGTGCGGATATTTTTAATTTTAATTCATTATGTGTTTAATCATATTATGCGTTTAATCATTAATAGACTTATGTGATTATTCTGTTTATTCCATTCTATCCTGTCTAAAACATTCGTGTACACTTGTACAATGACATAGTCCCTCTATATACTATAACCACTTTTGTTTCATAGCATTTACAAAGATGTTTCATAGCATTTTGACAAAGATGTTTCATAGCATTTTGACAAAGATATTTCATACAAAGATGTTTCATAGGATTTTGACAAAGATGTTTCATAGCATTTTGACAAAGATATTTCATAGGATTTAGACAAAGATGTTTCATAGCATTTTGACAAAGATATTTCATAGGATTTAGACAAAGATGTTTCATACCATTTTGACAAAGATATTTCATGGGATTTAGACAAAGATGTTTCATAGCATTTTGACAAAGATGTTTGATAAGATTTAGACATGTTTCATACCATTTTGACAAAGATGTACTAAAAGTGTACTCAGTACTGGAGGTTCCTGGTAAATCTTTGTTAGTTTTAACGAAGATAAAAAGGATAAAACCAATGATAACTTTAAAGGGACTGTAAGCGTTAGTTCAATTGACCCTTCATGCAAAGATGTCAATTCCTGATTCACAACGGTACTAGCTTATAAGCTTTGTCTGATCAAGTATGAATAAGATATCAATGTTTATAATTTAGAAAATTAATTATTTTTAACTGTGGTTTCACTTCAAAAGTGACTTGCATATTAAAACTGGGCCTGAGCAGAAGGAAATTTAAACTTTTCATCCTCTGAGCCAATTCAGGAAACGAGTAAATTCAGTGTTAGAACAAAATAAATAAAGTGTATACAATATTAATTTACTGTGAAATCTATATATATATACTTTGCTTGTCTGTCGTGATGTTTGTATCCAATAAGTGTCAAAACGACTAAACCGATCAGGCCCAAATTTTGCGTGGGACCTCGAGTGACCCCATGGAAATTTTATGGATGATCGAATTTTCAATAATTTGCCTCTAACGAAATTCGATTTTTGAAAATTTTGAAAATTCACGATTTTTTTATTAAGTCCACAACGTTTTGTTTTGTTTTACAATTTACACAAAGAGAACATGTTCACATTCAAGGATGTAATGCAAGGAAAGTTATTTCAGAAGTGTACACATCTTTTGAACTGCAGTGTACTGTCTCTGGGCGGTAATGTAAACACAAGATGGATGTCAAAGCCTGACATGGGATCCATCTTTCACATAAAAAATCAATGAAATATTCTGGTCATAGGAAAATATTATGTGAATTATCAAAATTATCAAAATTTAATGCTTTTAATCTCCTTGGATACCTAACGAACACTTATGCATCTATTCTTGTTTACAAATTCCGCCCAAAGAGAGCTGGTTTTAATGTGTACGCAGAGTATACACGACCGCAATTAACTTTCCTTGCATTACACCCTTGTTCACATTCAAAATTGAAATAGAAGATGGGCACGAAGCTAAAAGCCTAGTTTGTATAATTTATGTTTAATCATGGACTAAAACTATGCAATGGGGGTTAGGATTTGTTTGCATTTAAATATGACATATTATGGCAATATCTGTTACGAAGTGTTTACAATACAATTTCTTTCAGAGCTATACTACTGCAGTACAAACTAAACTTTCGTTCTGTAATGCAGCAATTAGCGGTACTCTAACCAATGTAATATTAATGAGTTTTAGCGGAGAGTGAATAGGTTGAATCACAGATAGATTGAACAAATACAAGACCACTCTCCTTTGTTATATTATCATTATTCATGGCTTTTAATCATAACATTTAAAAAAAATCAAATAATAAAATATCCACAGTTAGTTTTCTGATCTTCTCACAACCTTGGCATGAAGACCTTCTTTCACATACCCAACCATACTTGCCGGATCTATCACAAGATCCACAGGGTTCCTCTCACTGTACACAAAAGAGTAGCTCCTAAGTATACTCATTATTGCAATCTTAGTTGCAAGCAGAGCAAACCTCATCCCAATACAGGCGCGTGGACCTTGCCCAAATCCTTGGAAAGTGTACGGACTTCTGGACTGTTTCCTTTCCTTACTGAAGTTTTCTGGATTGAATTTGTCCGGGTCAGGATAGTACCTTTCATCTAAATGAATTCCTGATCCTGGGATTATAACTAAATCATCTCTCTTGATAGTGATGTCTGTTTTAGGAAGCACGTAGTCCTTTGTACAAGCTCTTATCAGAGCCTCACCACCACTCAACCGTAAAGTTTCCATTACACACATATCTAGGTAGGGAAGCTCCTGTATGGTATTATATTCTGGAACTTTGCCATCATTATCTGAGTATGCCTGGTCTATCTCCTCCTGAAGATTAGCCTGTATTTCAGGATGCTTGGAGAGGTAATATCCTAGGAAGGCAAGAGTCTTTCCTGTAGTGTCGTAACCAGCTGCTAGAAATAGAAGGCAATTAGAAACCACTATATCTTCATTGAGTTCTACCTGCTTCTTCTTGAATTTTAAATTCGCATCTTGTTCAACAAGACCAAAACCTTCTTCATCGTTGTCCTCAACATTTCCTTTCTCAGAGGGTTTCATGCAATCAAGCATAAGATCAATAAGATCATTTGCCTTTTGGCCGGTTTTCCGTCTGTGTTGGATTGTGCTGATAACAATGTCTCTAAAAAATCTTGTTTCTTTTGGCTTAAATGCATCTATTTTCAATTTCTTTTGCAACCATCCGCTTCCAGGTATGAGTCTTGAAAATAGTTTAAGACTTTCATAAGCAGAGACTTGGAATATGCTGGCAGCATTTTTAATGAATGGACCGTCAACTTCCTTAAAACTGTTCGGGTTTATTCCAAAAGCACAGGTGGCCAAAGAATCTATACTGAACTTACCAAACAACTCCTAAAATGTTTTGAAATTTTATTAACATGTAAAAATAATCTTAGATTCAATAATTATGTTCACCTTTAGTTCAAAATGTTGGCCATTTTCTGCAAATATGTCAATTTCACCTCTTAGCCTGCTTGCCACCTCTAGCATGAATTTCAACATGCATTTCATTTTTCCAGAAGTAAAGATGGGAGAAAAAGTTGATCTGACCTCTTTCCATTCATCCCCACTTAAATCTGTCATTCCTTTGCCCCAGAGCTGATCAAGCTCCCCTCCTTCACTCATCATATTTTGACTGGCACAATTCCGGTCTACGAAATGATTGAAATCCTTTACCATGATGTTCCGTATCAAATCCAAGTTCTGCACAACCAACACTGGCTTCCCAAACAAAAACATTCCATGAAAATCTTCATTTTTGAATCTTTCATAATTTTCTTTAACAAGAACATTAAAATGCTTGGACTGAGTTAGTAGCTCTATGTGACTGCCATAAGGAAAATGACCATTAATATGGGGCACTCCTTGCTTTTTCCAGTGGTCAAAGTTCTTGGTAACATATCTGTAGAGAATCAAAAACAATGTAAGACATAGTAATCCTATCTCAAGCAGCATTTTCACCCGACTGCTAGGCTGCTAGCAGATTGCTGTATCAGAGATTAGGGCGTAATAGAACAGTGATGACTAGTTAAAGCTTGAGAGAAATTGTACTCTACAGGTTGTCAAGCTGGCAGGAGGCTCCGGGCCAGTACATGTTGCTAGGGAAAGAAGCGCATCGAGGATTCGGGGACTGCCCTAATTTTAGCAATACAACTTAACACATTTAGTAAATTTAGAATGTTTTCAAACTCATGTTGATTGGCGCCAGATACAGGGTTGCCCATAAAGGATAAGACCTTATTGTCGACCTCAATCTCTTTAAATATTACTATCTGAAAGTCGTGGGTTATGTCCTCTGCCTTGAAAATAAAGTTCTTTAAATGATAAACTTTATTATTTAGAATGGGAAGGAGCAAGTTTAAAATGCAGGAAATCATTAATATAAGAAAGAAGACGGAAAACAATTCGTACAGTCGTCTTTGAAGTATCATTCTTTGTGATAAACCTGTACATATCCATAGACACTTGACAGAGCTTTTTCTGGAACAAATAGTGTTATTATGTAGTAAACTTATTATATTAAATTGAAAAACGCAAGTTTTTGCTCCGGTGGTAGGCGACAATATCAATATAATGAAGACGACTTTTTTATCTTAGCTTTAATTTTGAACAAACTGTTTTCGATTCACAAGTTATACAAGTAAATATAAAGAAGCTCTTTTGAATCGACAGCTTCCTTTTGTTTCCATGTTTTTGTGTATCCGTGCTGTTTAGAAGCTTGACATAAATCAAAATTGAAACCGAAAGTCGTCTTCATTGTATTGATATAACCGCCTATCGCCGTAAGCAAAATTAAAAATAAGGCAGCAATGAGTCGTAATTTAGCTTAAATATCGACATATCATACTTAAAAGACGACTAAGCGGATGTTATCCAGTCTTTGTTTCTTACTTTCACAGTTTATTACAGCTGTAAACTTTTTCCTCAATTGCTATATCTTTTAAAATATCAACAAAATACTTTATTTAAGTTAGAACATCAAATTCAAATTGTTTTATCAAAAAGTTTCAGTGAGTCATTTAATTTTGTGGGTGAGCCTAAGATTACCTAACATATCATAATTAAAAGATACTCAATAGTTTACAAGTTTCGGTCTTCAGGAGTATACCTCAGGATTCAGGAGTATATATAAGGATTCAGGAGTATACCTCAGGATTCAGGAGTATACCTCAGGATTCAGGAGTATATATAAGGATTCAGGAGTATACCTCAGGATTCAGGAGTATACTTCAGGATTCAGGAGTATACCTAAGGATTCAGAAGTATATATAAAGATTCAGGAGTATACCTAAGGATTCAGGAGTATACCTAAGGATTCAGGAGTATACCCAAGGATTCAGGAGCATGCCTAAGGATTCAGAAGTATATATAAGAATTCAGGAGTGCACGTAATAAATAAGGAATATACCTGAGGATTCAGGAGTATACCGAAGGATTCAGGAGTATGTGTAAGTATTCAAGAGTATATCTAAGAATTCATGAGTATACCTTAGAATTCAGGAGTATACGCGTTGAGTATACCTAAGGATTCAAGAGTACATGTCAAAGGATCCAGGAAATATACCTAATAATTCAAGCAGTTGGTCTAAAATTCTTTCAGACCTAAAGCCGGACTATGAACATTTAGAATTCTAAACATTTTCGCAGCAATCAAAGTAAACTTAATCTGATCTACAGGGTGTCCCACCTCATATTGAATCGTGTTATATAGCTGTAAATTGCGATTTCAGGGACTAATCAGAAAATCTAAAAAGAACGAATCATTTTTCAAAAAATTGTATATATTGCTAATATAAAGATTTGCATGCAGAAAATAGTAGGTTTTTAGTAGTATTCGTGTTTTGACGTTAATTAGCTTGGAGATAATCTAATATGATGAATCCGACTTTTCTATTTAAGTTTTTCAAAATACAAGTTTACATGTTAACATTTAAAGAATCTGTTAATATACAGCTTCTCTTTGTTTCCATTTTTATGTGTATCCATCCTGTTTTCAGAAATCAAAATTGAACCAAAAAATCGTCTACATTGTATTGATATATACGACGAATAATATAAAACTAGGTGTTAATCGTTTTGGTTCGTTAATAGTTAATAGTACGACTGTAAATAAAAACTTCCAACATTTTAAAATTGTATACTGCTACAAACAAAAATGGAAAAACGAAACAAAAAAACTATCGTTCTAGCACGTTTCTTTTTGATTCGTTCTTTGTATTTTTTTTCCTGTCAGGCTCAAAATTTGGCAATATGTTAAACAACCTGGTCTACCCATTTGCCTTTCTTCGCCAAATGTTGGCTTTCAGAGAAAGTATTTGCAAACAAACTAACCCACTTACCCTGACTCAAGCGGAGTGACGGGCAATGTACGGTAATTGAACTGAGAATGAAGAGTATTGCAGAGAAATTTATTAGGATTAATTGAGACATAAAACGTTTCAATGATGTATAATTACCGAGTGTGAGCGCAAAAGCGTCGTTGAAAATCATCTGTTTGAGTGGTTACGTTGTGAGAATCCATTTTTTAAAATAATTAAACAGTATTTATTTCTAAACATGGAAAAAACTTGAAACATCATAAATCTAACTTTAATAAACGATTCCTATTTATTGTTCCTGCCAATTATTTTTCAAAATGAAGTAATGAAAAGATCTTTTATTTATTTATTTACACGAAAAAAAACATGAGTTTCAGTCTGTTATGCAAAAAATATTTTTAAACAAATTATGTTTTCAATCCTTTCAAAGGATTGTTGAATATTTTTTAAAATAAAATGTCATTAAAAACATTCTCAAGTTTAATAACTAATTCAAAAAAGGCATATAAAAATGTTAAAAGTTGTTAAAGTTTTGAAAATGCCAAAATAAGTATTTTTTAATTTGGAAGTTCTAAAATAATTGGCTATATTCATTAACATTTAATATAGTATTGTTATACATATTATAAATACACTATTAAAAACAGTTGTGTATACAATATATGTACAATACATTGTACAATATAATTATGCAACATTAAAATGTATTCAATGTCGACAAAATTTAGAGTGACTCTTAATTAACGAAAATTCTAATTTCAAATTGTGATACACCTATATAATAATTGCTGATTTTATGCACGCAAGACAAAGAACGTAATTAATAGAATTCAGTGCTTTTATATGTGGAAAAACGAAAATTTCTTCCCAATTGGTCCTCACATAAACATTTAATGGTACAATAGTGAATCTGGAATACCACTTTCAAAAAAAGTAAAGTGTCACTTAAATTTAGGCCTTCTGTCCCCGTTAATTGCAATGCGAATGCTTGCACTGCCTCAATGAAGGCATGCTGAAGAACAACTTTTGATTTTACATAAAAGACAAAAAACTCACTTTTCAAGTTATTTCTCTAATGAATTTACTTTGGTTGGTGACAACGCTTTATGTGCTTTCCTAAACTATCTCTAAGAGCTCCTATAAGTTGATATTCTGAAAATATTTGAACCTATTTTCTCCGCTTTTTCTTCCTCTTTTATCAAGACTGCCAAATGTCCGTTTGTGTCAAACATTTTTCTGAAACTATGAGATTATTAATCTTTTTCTTTTGACCACCAATATAAGTTATTTCTCTAATGAATTTACTTTGGTTGGTGACAACGCTTTATGTGCTTTCCTAAACTATCTCTAAGAGCTCCTATATAAGAGCATTGATCACAAGGAAACTGCTTTTTATCGTGCTCCTTTTGTTTGTGTCGTCGCAGATTATACGGAACCGACGCTGTAAAATCACACTGATCACATGAGTATCTCACACCTTCGTGAAATCCCTTTTTATGAACTCTAACAGCAAACAAAGATTTGTAAGATTTGTCACAAATATCACAGAAATACCTCTTTCCTTCATGCACTCTTATTATGTGCATCTTTACTGCTGAAGGAACTGCTCCAACATAATCACATAAATCACAAGGATATTTTTGCTCATTATGGTGTCTTTCTGTATGCGTGGATAATGCACTGGAAGTATTGAAGGACATTGGGCATTTATCACATTGATACCGAATCCCTTCATGAACACTCTGCTTATGTTGATTTAAACTCGTGACAGATGTTGACTCGAATCCACACAACTCACACAGATGCTTCAGTCCCTCGTGTTTGATTTGTACGTGACGCTTCAAATCTGACGGATGCTTTGACTTGTGTTCACATTGAGTGCATGGATAGCTAATATTATCATGTTTCCTTCGTTTGTGTCTCTTCAAGGATTGATTATTTGGACCTTGATAATTACACTTGTCACAGGGAAGACTCTTCCCCTCATGGATACTTTCAATGTGCTCTTTTATAGTTTTAGAACTTAAATATACTTTGTCACAACGATTACAGGGATATTCTGTACGTGGTTGCTGAATTTTAATCTCAGCATGAACTCCCTTCATATGCCTCCTCAAAGATGCTTTCAATGTTCCAACATAACTACACTGATCACAGGAATATTCTATTTTTTCATGAATTTTTTCGATGTGCTCTTTTATTTGGTATGGAAAGGTTGCAGAAAATTCGCACTGGTCGCAATGATATTTTAATTTACTCCCGGAATGGCAATTAACTTGATGCCGCTTTTGTTTGTGTTGTTTCAATCCAAGTTCAGTTTTAAAAACTAAATCACACTCATCACATTTAAATCGACTCTTTAAATGTGCATTAGCCTTGTGCCGATTTAATGATCTGGCGTTATTAGCTAAATAGTTGCATTGATTACATTGATATTTTCCTTCTTGGTGCCTTGTTTTTTCTCCTTCTTGGTGCTTTGTTTTTTCTCCTTCTTGGTGTCTCGGTTCTTTTCCTTCTTGGTGTCTTGGTTCTTTTCCTTCTTGATGCCTTGTTTCCTTATGATACCTGAGACTCTCCTCATTACTAGATCTGTGGTTACAAAGATCGCATGAATAACTGGGAAAACTCTGATCAATCTCATCTTTTAGACTAATAGGAGAGTTTCTGATATCCTGATAAATAACTGTATGGAGATTGTCATCAAGAATGCTTCCCTGTTGTAATTTTGCAGCTTTCTTCTTATACATTCTTAAACTAACAGTTTGTTCTCCGACGTATTCCCAATCATCATCTGGAGGCTCAATCTTAGGCTCTGCATCGACCATATCTAAACAATTTATATTCAAAGTGTCTCTAAAAATAGAAGCTGTTGCCAGAGCCTTTATTTTTAAACAGATTTTTGGACATTAAAAATGTCTGATCTAATGATGCAAAAAAGCTTTGTTTCATGATCATAGCAATATTTTGTGACATATAAAATTATCAATGAAAAAGTTCGATTTAATTGTTTAACTGCATTAATATTTATGCAGATTTACACAGAGCAGTTTTATTCTGATATGCGCTTTGAGTCTTTTTGGCAACCACCGTCCTAAAAAAATGGTTTTGCAATGCCGTAATTTTATATATCACAACTTAACCAAGAGAGCGCTAACAAAGCGCCTACTTCTAGCGACAACCTTATGTAAATAGTTGTTATTTCATTTAGAATATTGTCATGATTTCTATTTATTTCTCCAGTCAAATATTAATAAATTAAACAGTATTTATTTCTAAACATGGAAAAAACTTGAAACATCATAAATCTAACTTTAATAAACGATTCCTATTTATTGTTCCTGCCAATTAATGCAGAAGAAATGTTATAAACCAAAACCAGATTTTTTTTTCTTGAACATAGGAAAAAATAGATTTTTTTGTCAATATTCTATAAACCTAAAGTTTTGTTCTCGTATCTTACAAACAATGCAACTTGCCATAGTATTATAGCCCATTTATATTTGTAAAACATTTTCGTAAACAATAACCAACGTAAATTATACATGTAAATCTTGTTAAAACTAATTATCCTAACGAAAATTAAAAATATTTTGCTTTAAAAAAATATTTTTAACATATAAAATTATCTATGAAAATTTTTTAATTAATTGAACAAGCTAAAATATCTTTGAATCGTTGTATTGAACAAGCTGAAATATCGTTGAATTGAACAAGCTGAAATATCGTTGTATTGAACAAGCTGAAATATCGTTGAATTGAACAAGCGAAATATCGTTGAATTGAACAAGCTGAAATATCGTTGAATTGAACAAGCTGATATATCGTTGTATTGAACAAGCTGAAATATCGTTGTATTGAACAAGCTGATATATCGTTGTATTGAACAAGCTGAAATATCGTTGAATTGAACAAGCGAAATATCGTTGAACTGAACAAGCTGAAATATTGTTGTATTGAACAAGCTGAAATATCGTTGAATTTAACAAGCGAAATATCGTTGAATTGAAAAAGCTGATATATCGTTGAATTGAACAAGCTGAAATATCGTTGAATTGAACAAGCTGATATATCGTTGAATTGAACAAGCTGAAATATCGTTGTATTGAACAAGCTGAAATATCGTTGAATTGAAAAAGCTGAAATATCATTGTATAGAACAAGCTGAAATATCGTTGAATTGAACAAGCTGAAATATCGTTGTATCGAACAAGCTGATATTTAATCTATATCTTCTGTCAACGTGGAAGTTTTGCTTAGTGGGCATAAAGGCGTTTAGAATATAACTTTATATAACTTGTTAGATTTTAGTGTAGGTTCACAAAAGCTTTAAAGGTTTAATTTTAATGGGACTGTTATTGTATTTTCAAATAANGCTTTTTCTTCCTCTTTTATCAAGACTGCCAAATGTCCGTTTGTGTCAAACATTTTTCTGAAACTATGAGATTATTAATCTTTTTCTTTTGACCACCAATACCGACCCATGATTCCCACAAATGCAGGATGTTAGTTTACTAACCACATGGGACAAGTTAGTAAAATGAATAGCTTCTGAACTCAGTCTAAAGAATTTTTTAAGACCTCCGTTGTCAAGACTCCTATTTCAACGGAAGCTGAGTGTTCCTGAATCTCTGGACGCTTGGTTTGAGTTCTCTGCTACCTAGCTCTGTCAGTCTCTCAGAGAAGTTTCTCTTTTTACGTACAATTGATCCTCAACAACCACGCCTTGGTTGTTCTGCTCCCCCTCCGACAACTCCGACGGAAGGACCCTGGACAGAATTGGAACCATCCTGATACTGATCTAACGTTCCTCCTCTAGATCAATTGCGGGTACTAATCCAGATTCCCATTCATTTGAGCAAATTGTTACTTGAAAAAGGATATTTAAAAAGACACATAAAAACCTCAACTCAACAAGCTCATTTTTAGTTCTCGTACCCGAGACTGTGGTGCATTCCAAACGGACTAAAGACTACAAACCTCCGGACAAATCAACATTGGAAGTGAGTTTTCTTTATATTAAAATTTAATGTTTTTAACCTGGAGAAAATGTGTCATTTAAGGCTAGCATTTTATTATTGTCATTAACTGAAATAAACCCTGGACTGATTTATTGTGTTTTCTGTCCTGTATAAACTGCACACCTGAAATATAAATAAGTATACAATTAGTGCTAATTAGGTGAGCCGAAGAGAAAGAGTGTATGCTCATTGCTCACTCTTATGATTGTAGCAAACTTGCCTGAACTCCAATAGGTAAAATAAGCTCAGGGGACCCTGCCATTAACAGTTCAAAAAATATCGCAAAAAAAAAACAGAAAAAGATGCATATTAAAACCTTTAAACGAAATTTACGTTTGATTTTAGACCTGTAAATGTACTTGATTTCTGAGATATCTCAAAAAATGGATTTGCGGAAAATTCCCTAAGTCAAGTCCGTAGCTGGGGGGGCAAGTGGGCACGTGCTCCCCCCCTTTCCCCCCGCCCCCCCGAAGGGGTGGCACAGGGGAGGCACACTTTCTGAGATAAAAAAAGAAGAAAATGAAAAATGTAAAGTAGGAAACGATAGAAGAAAGAAAGAATGAAAAAATCAGCATAAAATCTTATTTTTGTTACCAATATTATGTGTTCAGAATTTTTTTCTTCAAATTAAAGACAAATTGAGTGCTTCCTAAAATAAAACATTGGGGAAATTATTTTCTATCTTATCTTGTGAAATTAATATTTTATATTAATTATTTTATATTTTATATTAATTATTTTGTATTTTGAAAAGCCTTTTCTTCTCCCTTCTTTATTAGATTAATGATTCTAATGAACCATCGTACAGCAAAGTAACATGGAGACAAATTTAAATTATATACAAAATATGGCAAGGTTTCGGAAAAGCTGATTTTTTCAAATTTTAGTTTTGAGAAAACTCAAAATTGTTATGCTTGAGCTTTTTTGATCAAACCTTCAGTTTTCTCAAAAATATAATTTGAAAATACTCCCCTGCAAGCTTGAGGATAAGTACAAACATCTACTACTAAACCTGACATAATTTACTTTCCCTATATTAAAAACAAGTATTTACTATTCGTGATTAAAAAATTATCAGCAGTACATTTATATAAAGTTAAACTCAAATTTCAACATACTACATCTCCAGTTTTTTGTTTTGTTTTGATGCAAATACAGCTTCTCAATTACTAAATAGCGATTAAGGGAACGAAAACAGGCAAAACATCTATCTTATTAAACTGAAATATGTGATAACTTAAAAATCTAGTTTTTCGTCTCTTTTCACTAATTTTTACCCTTATTTTTTTCAGGTAAAAAAATTATGTTTTCAATCCTTTCAATGGTTTGTTGAATATTTTTTTTAATAAAATGTCATTGAAAACATTCTCAAGTTTAATTGGCAGTTAAAAAATAATTGACTAATGTTCATTAACATTCAATATAGTATTGTTATACATATTATAAATACACTATTAAAAACAGTTGTGTATACAATATATGTACATTGTACAATACATTGTGAATGTTTTGTACAGTATAATTATGCAACACTAATATTGTAACATACGTTTGAGCTTTAAAGGGACTGTCGACAAAATTTAGAGTGACTCTAAATTAACAAAAATATGTGCATTGCCGATTTCTAATTCTAATTGTGATCTCACTATATAAGTGAATTGCTGATTTTATGCACCTAAGACAAAGAACGTAATTAATAGAATTCAGCGCTTTTTATGTAGGAAATCTTCCCAATTGGTCCTCGGATAAACATTTTAATGGTACAATTGTGAATCTGGCATACCACTTTAAAAAAAGTAAAGTGTCACTTAAATTTAGGCCTTCTGTCCCCGTTAATTGCAATACGAATGCTTGCACTGCCTCAATGAAGGCATGCTGAAGAACAACTTTTGATTTTACATAAAATACAAAATACTCACATTTTAAGTTATTTCTCTAATGAATTTACTTTGGTTGGTGACAACGCTTTATGTGCTTTCCTAAACTATCTCTAAGAGCTCCTATATAAGAGCATTGATCACAAGGAAACTGCTTTTTATCATGCTCCTTTTGTTTGTGTCGTCGCAGATTATACGGAACCGACGCTGTAAAATCACACTGATCACATGAGTATCGTACACCTTCGTGAACTCCCTTTTTATGAACTCTAACATCAAACAAATTTTTGTAAGATTTGTCACAAATATCACAGAAATACCTCTTTCCTTCATGCACTCTTATCATGTGCATCTTTACTGCTGAAGGAACTGCTCCAACATAATCACATAAATCACAAGGAAATTTTTGCTCATTATGGTGTCTTGCCGTATGCCAGGATAATGCACTGGAAGTATTGAAGGACATGGGGCATTTATCACATTGATACCGAATCCCTTCATGAACACTCTGCTTGTGATTATTAAAACTCGTGACAGATGTTGACTCGAATCCACACAACTCACACAGATGCTTCAGTCCCTCGTGTTTGATTTGTACGTGACGCTTCAAAGCTGACGGATGCTTTGACTTGTGTTCACATTGAGTGCATGGAAAGCTAATATTATCATGTTTCCTTCGTTTGTGTCTCTTCAAGGATTGATTATTTGGACCTTGATAACTACACTTGTCACAGGGAAGACTCTTCCCCTCATGGATACTTTCAATGTGCTCTTTTATAGTTTTAGAACTTAAATATACTTTGTTACAACGATTACAGGGATATTCTGTACGTGGTTGCTGAATTTTAATCTCAGCATGAACTCCCTTCATATGCCTCCTCAAAGATGCTTTCAATGTTCCAACATAACTACACTGATCACAGGAATATTCTATTTTTTCATGAATTTTTTCGATGTGCTCTTTTATTTGGTATGGAAAGGTTGCAGAAAATTCGCACTGGTCGCAATGATATTTTAATTTACTCCCGGAATGGCAATTAACTTGATGCCGCTTTTGTTTGTGTTGTTTCAATCCAAGTTCCGTTTTAAAAACTAAATCACACTCATCACATTTAAATCGACTCTTTAAATGTGCATTAGCCTTGTGCCGATTTAATGATCTGGCGTTATTAGCTAAATAGTTGCATTGATTACATTGATATTTTCCTTCTTGGTGCCTTGTTTTTTCTCCTTCTTGGTGCTTAGTTTTTTCTCCTTCTTGGTGTCTCGGTTCTTTTCCTTCTTGGTGTCGTGGTTCTTTTCCTTCTTGATGCCTTGTTTCCTTATGATACCTGAGACTCTCCTCATTACTAGATCTGTGGTTACAAAGATCGCATAAATAACTGGGAAAACTCTGATCAATCTCATCTTTCAGACTAACAGGAGAGTTTCTGATATCCTGATAAATAACTGTATGGAGATTGTCATCAAGAATGCTTCCCTGTTGTAATTTTGTAGCTTTCTTCTTATACATTCTTAAACTAACAGTTTGTTCTCCGACGTATTCCCAATCATCATCTGGAGGCTCAATCTTAGGCTCTGCATCGACCATATCTAAACAATTTATATTCAAAGTGTCTCTAAAAATAGAAGCTGTTGCCAGAGCCTTTATTTTTAAACAGATTTTTGGACATTAAAGAGTCTGAGCTGAAAACTTTAGAATGAAATATCCAATTAGAAGATAACGTTGCTTCTCTGGAGTTTAAATTCATGTGGAGAACAAGCAATATTTAAACTGGATATTAAGAAAAAGAGTGGTTTAAGCCTTAATCCTGATATCCACCATTCTAAAGTTTTCAGCTCTGATCTAATGATGCAAAAAAAGCTTGTTTCATGATCATAGCAATATTTTGTGACATATAAAATTATCAATGAAAAAGTTCGATTTAATTGTTTAACTGCATAATATTTATGCAGATTTAAAGTTTCGGAAATCGTCTTAAAAATTATAACTTTTTAAAGTAATTGATGTCACAGCCTGAATTTCAACCGAATATACGTATTTTTGGATATTACAGCCTATCAAATCATTGCTTGGGAAATTTACACTGCATACAAGTGGAGTGATTTTTTTATATATCCCATATCCGTTATCTGAGACGATTTTTCTTATTATTTTATGGCTCACAAATATCTAAGAGGTCAGACTCATAATTTAAAACTTAGTCATATTGTTTACAAATTTGCTTTTTTTGCATTAAAAAACATATTATGTATTAAATCTGACAGAGTTATTGGCACACCGCCTCGCATGAAAAACCCCGAATCATTTGTTATTGAACAAGCTAAAATATCGTTGAAGGCCTATAATCTATATCTTCTGTCAACGTAGAAATTTTGCTTAGTGGGCATAAAAGTGTTTGAAACATACATGAAAAATTAAAATTAACTTAATAATTATTCAAAAATTAAAAATTAATTATTGAAAAATTAAAAATTAGTTAATAAAAAATTAATAAATTAAAAAGTTTTCTTAACTTGTTAGATTTTAGTGGAGGTTCGTGAAGCTTAAAGGTTTAATTTTAATTTTCAAATAAGCCTCCGTTTAAAGAAAATCCGGGGTTATATATTTTCAGCAATTCTCCCCCCATCCCCACCCCTATGCTCTGGAGAGAAAAAAACATTTTAACTAACTAAAAAAAGACCTAAACCCAAATTGCCTTCATTTTGCATTATAAAATCTGTTTTCCATAATTTAACAAATACACACATGCCTAAGATCTGAGAAGAAAAAAAAATCAAATGATTTTTTAAGAAATTATTTACCAAGAGACGACAATGATCAACTTACAACGGTAGCCTTTAAACCTTTATCTGATTGATAATGTGAAAGATATCGATGCTTTTTTAAACTTGAAAAGTTATGTCCTCCTTGTTTTTTGTTGCTAGAAATCCGCAAGTAATCCATGGATGTCTTTTTCATTCTGTATCAGACAAAGATTCTAAGGATATCGTTGTAAATCAGACATGGCAATGAAGGGTCAGTTAAGATAAAGACTACAGTCCGTTTAAAAATAGATTAATAAAACGATGCTTAAAACTCCTCAGTAGCCAAAATTCGGCCTAATTACCTGGATCTTTCTTTTCTATCAGAACCAATTCCATATTTTCTTCGAGTCCTAAAACAAAAACCCCAGTGAGTGTTAGGACTAACATTTTTAACCTTCAACTTTTATTTCTTTTATTGTATGTTACAACAATGTTTGTACTGTTTTTTAAATTTTGAATAAATACAATTCCTTCAAAGTACCTTATTTCAAGGGGTCATTTGTAATGGTTTAATAACCTTTGAACAACTTTAAAGCATAAATATTAATGCAAGTTATCAAATGGGGGGGGGGTGAAAAATCATATGATAATTTCAAATTGTACGCTTTTAGAAACCCCCCCCACCTTCCTATCATTTTTGTACATGGAGCTCAAATTATAACACATGTTCAACCGGCCCCAAAGCCTGTCCTAGCCTTAGCTCCGAAGCTTGTCCTAGCCTTGGCCCCGAAGCCTGTCCTAACCTCAGCCCCCTATCCTGTCCTAGCCGTAGCGCTCGGCCAAGAAATAATACAAATTAAATATTGTTAATTTTGTTGAAAAGTATTGGTCATGTAAAAGGGGGGGGGGGCTGGGGGCCAAAAATCGTACAATAGGAGAGACCCAATCATATACATGTCGCAAAAAATAAGTTGATATTCTGAAAATATTTGAACCTATTTTCTCCTCTTCATCTTCCTCTTTTATCAAGACTGCCAAATGTCCGTTTGTGTCAAACATTTTTCTCAGCTTTGCTAACTTCTGAATGTTTTGTAGGCAAAATTAGTCTGTGAGAACCAATTGGTAGAACAAATTCCCTGTAATAAAAAGTAATTGTAAATAATCTTTAAAAATTCATGAAAAGATTTCTTTCAAAATTCAAAATAAAATAGTTTATTTTAACTAATGGACAAAATCCGCGCTTCATCATATCAGAAACATATAATTTGATAATAATAAGATTAAATACATAATTTACCAAAGAATATGGTGAATTAGGAAGAAAGTGTGGAAAAACTTATAAATAAATTATGTTAACGAAAGTGGCGCGAATAGCGACTCCGACTTTGTTTCGGTTCTTGTAAAGTAAGTAAACCTAAACTAAATCAAAATGTACAGGTGTACGCTGAACTATAAATGTACACAATGAACTCTAGCTGTGTTTACTGTAAACTCCGAGAAGTTTCAAGCGCTCAATAACAATTTATACAGTAACAAATCTTTTACACATCTGCGCACGGTAAATATGCACGTTTTGTTACAAAATACTTTTTATATTTACCATTGTTCCCAAAAACTACACAAATTCGACATATTTTCTTGGGTAAACAAAGATAAACTATAATGTCGTCTTCTCCACAAATCCATTATATATTTACCCTGTTGACGTTTCGTAATGTTGTCTTTTGTAATGGATTAAATAGTTATTTAAAAACAAAACAAGGAAACCACTTTAGTTTTTCTATCTTGAAATATTCAATTCGTCCATAGTCTAATCATCACTTTGTAAGATGAAATATAACGACGATATCTTCCTCATTGTTACCCAGATAAATGTTCAAATGTTACTGTTGTTGATAGGACCTTTAATGGGTTGGTAACTTGAAATTACATCTATCAGTCCCTAAGAACATTTACTTTTACATTTGAAGTGTTCATGAAGAAGAAAATATTAATGGTAATGTTATATCGTCTATACGCAACATCCCCCCTACTGAACTTCTGACCTACTAACTTTCCGACCTATATTGCAATATCGGACCTACGCCAGCTGTAATTATTTTAGTATTATTTGAGGGTTAGGTTAGGTTAAGGCAATTTCTGGGCCTAGCGCTGCGGCTAGGACAGGATAGGGGGCCGAGCGCCCGGCTGACAGGCTAGGGGGCCGAGCGCTGCGGCGACAAGTCCATAGAGCAGCTGTAATACCACGTGCTAGTAGGTCGGATGTGTAGTATAGCGGATTTGGCGTAGGTCAGAAATTCTAAGTATGGCGGATATGTGTAGCTGTCGAAAAATACACCACCAGGCACCAATATTAATGTCTCATATACTTTTAAGCAAGTAACCTTGTGCTTTTTAACAGCAATAAATTATCTCATTACTTTTTCATTCAAGATCGAATTCTCTCTCTACCTGATTTAAATGAATTATTGAAAAATATAATGTCATAATATTTATTTAAAAATGTAATAGTTTTTACACACTCTGGGATCTTTGAGCGTAAGGAATTCATATGAACCAATTAAAGAGCCTTGATCCAAACTTTTTTCATTTTGGATCTGTTGGTATTGTAACCGCAGACTCTCTTATTCGTGGTTGGCTTGGCAGTTGGGATTCATACATGTTACTTTGTTTGGCAGTGGCACCGATGAACCTTCATTTGAACGTACATTTAGGGACATGAAAGTACACTTTATATGTCATTGTGAACTTTGACAAGTTTTTGTGTACGTGTACTACACTTCAGAAATGTGTACTGCATTTGGGGTGTTAAAAGATGTAAATACTAGCATTGAATATAAGAGATAAATTATAATATACAGAAAAATAAACACTCCCTTGCAGTAAACATTCTGAAGTTTTGAATTTTTTCTACAACTTGACATTAAACATCCAATTGTTAAAATAACAACATGGTTTATTTCTGCCCCTAATATCAATCAATCAACATTTGGGATTGATCAGATGGAATTATATGGAATATATTCAATTACAGGTAGGACTATATATATTTATATACCTACCTAATATATAAATCCTATAGCATCATTTTATTCTTACGCTGGGCAACGCTGGGTACTCCAGCTATAGTTCAATATTAAAACATGTTAAACTAGCTTAATTGTAACTTAACCACTAGTGTTCACTTTTTTTTATCAACCCCAGATTTTCGATCAAACAGTTTTTGATATTGTTATAATTTTATACAAAACTAGACATTTAAGGCCCATCTTATATTTCAACTTTTAATTGTGGCTTCATCTGTGAGAATCTTCTCTTTGTACAGTGATAACCAGAAAAATTTGGAATAGGAAGACGACATTGAAGCAATATTCAAAGTTTAATAGATGCTGTTTCCAGCAAATAGTTTCCGCATCATTTATAAAGTGAAATTGGCATAGCACACTACACAAATGCTGTGTATCGTAAGTCTTAACTTGAGTCTAAAATTCGTCTTTCTATTTTTCTGGTCCTCACCATAGATAATGATAGATTGCGCATAAGACGACATTTTTCATCTTGAAAGATATAAATGTACAGAGATGTTTTAAAGATATTCCTATTATATAGAATAACTAGGTCGGTTGTGAACATTGGCTGTTCTTATGTCATTGAGTCCTTGTGGTGTACATGAGTTCTGTTAAAGGAAATTTAAGTTAGTTTATTCCTTCTCATGTCCTTCTTCAGTTCACGTCAATATGATATATTGCTCATAACTTGATATTCTCAAAATAAAATTTACTCCTGAGTGGTTTAATAATTATAAATTAAAACACCAAACCACCCCGCTTATCATTGAAGTACACTTTGACCCCTAGAAGTATGAGTTCGCGGACTGTACAAATCTTGGTGATTTTGAGTACATAAGCTATCTATGTTTATTTATTTATCTATAGTTCTCATTGTACAATATAAAACATAAACAAAAAGAAGGTTGCGATTTTAATAATATTTTTTTGAGCATTGTCAAAATTTTACAAAAATCAAAAACTTTTGAACACGAATTTTTGTAATTTTGAGCATACAAAAACCTTCCTCTGGGGCCATGTGAGGTTCCACATGAAAATTTTGGGCCCGAACGGTTCAGCCGTTTTTGGATACAAACTGACAAACAGACAGACAGGCAAGCAAAGTATATATTTAGATGAAACTAAAACTAAAAATAAAATTTAGGTTACAAAATATTTATTTAGGGATCTTCCCTCACATTTATTTACTTACAATACATAGTATTGGTTACACCCCAACATACATTTAACATTTATTAAAGGGACTGTAAACGTAATTTTAAGTGAACATCCATACACAGATGGCAATGCCCGATTTACAACGGTCTGATCAAGTATGAATTAGTTATAAATGTTTACAATTTTGAAACCTTAATATTTTCAATTGTGAGTTCTATACAAAAGTGACTCTACTACAGGAAAGATTTAGGAATTATGGAGAATTATGGAGGGTAACTAGAAATTACGTATACAGTCCCTTTAAAGGTGCGATTTTATGATTAACATGTTAACAGTTAATTACTTTAATTTTATCTTAACAATATACTAGTAACCTTTTACCAGAATACCAGCAAACACACATACTTTCTTTTTAAATTGATTTCATAATTCATCTGGTTAATTTGGGCCCATCACCAAGCCAGGCAGAGTAATAAAACATACAACCGTTTTCCTGACTAGATTTTAATTTAAAAAATTCTGCCGGCCATAAATGGCACTTTATGTTTAGTTAGAAAAATATCACAAAAATATTTCTTCACAAATTTAGAAAACAAAATAATGATAAAGATACAAAAAAAAGACTAGGATATTTGTTTTTAAAAAATACTTTTCACCTTAGCTGCATATTTTAAAAAAATCTTCAGAATGAATAATAGAAAATGAATGAATTCGTTTACACAAATGAACATAAATAATATCCTGCAAAGCCAACATTTTGAAATGAATAACTAGATAAATATAGGAGACCGAAACAATAAAAATTTTAAAAAATATCAGATTTCATAACAAGTAATAATATGTACCATCACCTTACTAGAAACTTGTCCAGAAACGTTAAGACCATGATACTGAAAAATGTGTCCCCAAAAAAATAATGCAAAATTGATATGATATAGAAACGTTATAAATTGATTATGGGTTAAATACATTTTAATAAATCACTATAAAAACAATGTTATAACGTAGAACTGTGGCTAGGACAGGCTGAGTTTTACAATTAATTGGTATTATGGGTACATTTAAACATAATCAGCAGTACTTGTGCTAGCTACCTACTACGCTTTTTAGTATTTCTCATTTTACATTTGAGAAGTACATAACAATTACTGTACATAAAACGATATTACTGTAAATAACAAGATGCCGAACAACATGGACGGTAGTTCATCAATTATACAAATGTACAAATATTAATAAAAATGAATTGTTAATATGTATTTCTTGGTAAACTTCTGTAAGTTCATATTTAGACACATTAAGTTCCTTTACTTTACAGATCTTTAAATAGGAATGGGTAGATAATGAATTTGTGATAACGATCATTAATAATAATGGTACATATATAGACAATATATATATATAGTATAGTGGGCCAAGTCTGGTATAAAACCTATTTCTTGGTGATACTTCAACTTATGCGGGTGGGAACATTTTCATGATTGCCGCGCACAAGGTTTTAGGATCATACTCATCCGGCATCATGGTTAGAACCTGTTCCACCTGGTCCTGGGGGAACAGAGCAGAAAGATGGTACTTTAGTTCCAACCTGGAGTCCTTGACCGGCCTGCTTCCGACCGGGCCAAGGATGCTCTGATTGGGTGACGCTTGTGGAGTGCTTTGAGCTGCCGGCAATGGTCCCCAGATGCTGCTGAGCTGAGAGGAGGAGGGAGTAAGTATTGGTGTTATCCCAGAGTCGAAATTCCATGTATCCGTGAGGAAAGGTCCGGCAGAGAGAGTTCGGTTCAGCTGGGAATCTGAGGTGGATGAGTTCCTCTGTATGGGAGAGGACTGTTGGTTTAGAACCCCAAGGTTTAGAGGCTCTACAACTGTTACTGGAGGAGATATGACACTGCTTCCCCATTGACGGAGGGAATCTGGAGCAGAAGCAATTCTTGTCACATTTTGATGATTGAATTCATTGCTTTCTGGGGTAATGCCAAAGGGAGGGGGTGGGTTTCTATGCATGTACTCCATAGCCTCTGTTGATAGCAAATCCTGGGATTTAGGAAATCTTGGTTTATTGATCCTGGGATCAAATGATGGATTAATCGTCAGCTGACGTTCAAGTCTCCGGTGGGAGTTACCATCCTGGGCAGGAGGAGGAACCATGGTGTTCCAGGGTCCGGGGGGAGGTGGAGCAGTGTGTATAAGATCCCTTAAACCGTAGTTATTTAGACAACCCATCTCTAGGTTGGACCAATCTCCTGTGGGACGTCCAAACCTGTTATCGGTAGATTGGGATTTGGTGATATCCGTCTTGTTCCCAAGCATAAGAAGGGAGTCGGAGAACTTATCCGAACCTGAGATGGCCGGACGAGAGCTTCGTGTTCTTGTCAGAGACTGCTTTGGTCTGCTAAAAGCAGATGTGTCTGACTCCGTTCTTTGTAGGACAAGATTCATTGATTTTGTCCTGGCAATATCTCCTGGAGACGAATCCCTGCTTGTGTTCCTGGTTCGTACCTCAAGAATCTTCATGGTAGAATGTTCCTTGAGACGATCTGTTACAGACTTATGAGGAACTGTTCCTCGCTCAGCGTGGTAGAATTTACACTTATTCCCATAGGTGCACTTCTTACTATAGGGGCATGGGGGAGGCAAATCAGCAGGGGTATGGTTTATGCGTAGAAATGCGTCAAGAGTTGGACCATTTCTGCCCAAAGGGTCATCAGGGGGCATAAACCTACAAAATAAAACTGTTATGCTATCTAGTAGATTTTCAACAAAAATTTAAAATTAAGTATTCAATGCAGAAATATCCATAAAAAAATGCACTTAAAAAAGAAAAGAAAATCAAACCTGTCATTAACGAAAGAGAACATAAGTATTCTCTCTTCAACAACCTTTCTGAACTCAGGCTTCTCGTTTATCAACTCCCTAGGGGGTAAAAATTAATTTTAATTTTTAAAAATCAGACTCTATTTAACATTCGTCTAAAATTTGATGTTTTTAGATAAAAATTCTGATCCGAGCAAAATATTAAAGGCAATCTTGTGGGAAGAAAATCAAAGTTTTATGAAATTTTGATTTAGAAGATCATATTTTTTCAAGTTAATTCTTAGATATTTTGTAGTGTTTATAATAAGTTTGATCCCGGACCCGGATTCTGTCCCGGATCCCGGATTCTAAATAAGTGGATCTCAAATCACAAAATGACTAAACTAAACTTTAAGATTACTCTGACCTTTAGCGTGAGCATGAGATCATTCGTCGGATAACTGCATTGTTTTAAAATTTTATGATTTTAGATCAACGGATTTATTTTTTCTAATCCTTGAAGGGACTGAAGACAAGTACTCTCAAGGGAATGAGCTACAAGGTAGATTAACAACGTTGCCCTTTAAACCTTTTTATGTGTAAAAAATGTTTTTTATCTGAAAACTGATAATTTTCATAAATCTGACTTACGGATTTATGCAGTCGCGAAAGGGGAAGAATATCTTATTTCAGTATCAAAAACTACTGATATCTTGCTTAGCGGTTTTTCTGCGAAAGAGACTTGGTCTTGCTTATAATAATCAATTGAGAAACTCCAAGAAATAAACAGCTTTCGATTCAGAAAAACGACGTTACCTTCGACAATTTTGATCAGATTAGGGTTTCAAGGGTACCGTTGTGAATCGGGCAATGTCACATGAAATTACGCAAACATTCATTTGAGAAGATTAATATGTAAATATCATACCTGAAGTTATCATTGGAGACAACTACAGCATCTGTAGCTGCGGCAAGGTTCAAGATATATCTAAAAAATAAAATCATGATAATGGAATCCATCAAGAACGAGAAGTACAGGGTTACCCACAAAGAATGTGACTGTAAAGACGACATTAAACTTTTCAAACTAAATTAGGTCGTCTGCCTTGAATGCGGTCTTTAAATGGCTTATTTTAAATGGCAATGAAAGAAACAGTTGTGGAGCAAGGAATCATAAATATAAGGAAACACAACAGAATAAATCCCGTAATGTCGTCTCTGAAGCCTCATCCTTTGTGGGTAACCCTGTAATTGAACTAGACACAGCTAACTGAACTATTCATTTATTGATTAAGACGGTCTAATACAAAGGTAGTTGAACTATGCTTAGGTGATTCATTTCCTAACTCAAAACCACTCGATTTACGTTCAAAAGATAAATAATTAATTTTCTCATTTTTTTTAAATTGAGAACATATATTTTTCCGTTCTAATTTATAATGATTAATTCTCTTAAAGTTTAGAATTTCATGAGAATCCGTTTCTGGATTCTCTATGTTCATTATGATTTTTAATTTTCTTATTCTTGGAAATAAATCTTTTGATTCTGTTTGAATTTTGGATTAAAATCTCATATTTCTCTGTTAAAGGAATGTTCATGGGTTTTATCAAAAAGTATAAAATCTTAACCAAGTAAGGCCTTGGATTGAAATAAAAATAGTAAATTATTAATCTATATCACGAACGTAATGAGAAAAAATGAGAGGATTAATATATCTTTCCATTATAAATATATATTTATAAATGTATATTTATAACCAAATAAAGAATACGACGTGAAAGACTAATTCAGAATTTTATTTATTTGATTAAGAGATGCGAGCTTAAAAAATAAAAATGTAATTTTATTTTTCCACATAAAAGACTCTCATTATTTTTATTATTTATAGTTTGACGTAGAACATATGTTTATTATCTTTAGTTTGACGTGGTACATATGTTTATTATCTTTAGTTTGACGTGGTACATACAGGGTGTCCCACGAAACATGACAGTATGCAGGACGACTTGAATGTCGTCTTGATTTTTGATATAATTTGCTGCGTTTATTTTGTCAACCTAATTTTAGAAGTAAATTTCTAGAGATAANAATAATAATAATAATAATAATAATAATAATAATAATAATAATAATAATAATAATAATAATAATAATAATAATAATAATAATAATAATAATAATAATAATAATAATAATAATAATAATAAGTACCCCTGTTTCTCTAGATCTATTAGAATATGCTGGGCAGTTGTTGGAGTTTCAGGTTTACTTGATTCCTTTCTCCAGCTTGGTACGAATACTGTTATATCCTGGTTAAACAAATGAAAAATTAGATTATGTTTATAATATTTTTGAACAATTTTTTTTACATATATTCAGAAAAAAATTAATTTAAACCCTCTAAAAAGAAGCGATACGGACTAAATCCCCATATCCTCCAATTCCAACTGTGAAAATGTACAAATACGATATTAAACCGCTTTATAAACCCAACTCTTTGAAAAAATTGTCGCAATTTATACAAAGCTCGAGTCTTAAATCAGTCTCAATGAATACTTTCTAGTCTTGAGTCTTATTTTCCTCATTCTTTTAAATAACACGGCTCTGCTGATCTAATTTTTTTAATCTTTATATCTTTATTACTTGATCGTGAAAAAAATTTTATAATGAAAACTTTCAAAGAGGCATTGAGTCTTTGCCACAAACTCAAATTTTCAAATCCCTATATCTTTGAAACCTGTATATATGTAAACCTTTGATATTTCAAACCTAAATCTGATTATTTAATCTAAAAGAAATCATAGTTTAAGACATCTCAGGTTTACAACATTTGGTTGCAAAGATGTATGGGATTAGAAAATCAGAGTTTGTGGAAAAGACTCCATTTCTTTATCAAGCAGAATTCTTAGTCCAAATATCTACGAAGTTAGGTCGCAAATGTATATAACAAATAAAAATTCAATTTTGAAAAAAGTTATCAGTTTCTTTACCTTATGTCCTCGATTTTGAAACCATTCAACACAAAGCTGTATTCCAAGACAGGAATATCTCTCTTTGTTTCCATGCGACATCGCAACATTGCTCCCATCTAAATAGAAATTCAGATTTTTTATGAATTAAAGAACAATAATTTCATGATGTAAGTTTTTAAATGACAAGAACTCTTTTATCAAGAAGTTATCATTTCTTGATAAAAATATTAAAAATTATTTTATAACGTATATTTTCTAAAAAATTGAATTTATATGTGACACCTGAGGATTTATAATAAAAGAATTATGATTAAAACTAAATTGACAAAGGCACAATACGTTAATCAATTTTTTCTGTTAATTTTATCATTTAGTTTTATGGAAACATAGTCTCTACATCATTAGAATTTTCGTAGAAAATCTGCTACTTCTTAACAAATAAGACAAATTATTATTTTTTTAGCTAATAAAGATATTTAAGCAAAAGACAATGTTAAAATAAAGAATAAAAGAAAAAGTTATCTTAAATATGTTTTTTTACTTTTGAAACATGAACATATTTAAATTCATTTTTTTAATAAAAATTGAAAAGATGTTTGTTCCGATCCGGAACATATAGAATAACCAACATATATTTTATTCAAATTATACAAAAGAAAAAATACAATTGAGAATATGAATATTACAGGGTTGGTTTCATACTATCAATGCCGACACTACCCCCCCCTTAAATTCCAGGCATAAGACAAGCCAAGCAGATACGGCGAAAATTATTTTTTTAATAGCGTACTTTTAATGAGATATAGCCAATCATGGGACGGAATTAATTTAAGTAAAGTACAAGGATATAGTCATGCCGGTACGAATTTAGTAGGGCTTTCATATTATCTGTTTAAAGTTTTTATTTATCTATGAATAATCTGCTAAATCCTTCAAAAAAATCCATTTAAAAAATTCATTCATTTACTTCATTTTCTTTCAATCCGGTACCTTAGGATCAGCTCCCTTCAGCTGTTGTAGCCGGATTAGTTCATCCAATAGCTCGTTCTGCTGCGCGTTAAATCCAACCTTAAGGAGTGCGCGTTGTGTCAAGGGTTCAGGATATCCAAGCTTAAGCGCGAATTCAACCTAAATATTCATTAAATAAAAAATTTAATTTTAAAGTGCTTATTTATTTACCACGCGAAATGAAGTGGCAAAACTCTTTTATATATTGAATTAGTTAAAAATCAATTTATGCAATTTAATTTAAAAAAATTGTCCATTACTTATGCACAATACTTAGAAAAAGGACATTCAGTGCATGTGTAATATGCAAGTATACCTTAAATACATGGTAACCTACAGGGTTACCAATAAGGATAAAACTTCAAAGACGATATTTATCAGTTTGAAAAATACGTAATAAAAAATAATAATAAAAATGATCTTAATTAACTGGATGCTGTGTATATAGTATGTATACAATATTAGTCAAAAAAAATGTAATTAGTCAAGAAATGTAATTAATTGTATCTTGCGCTATGAATTCTGACGAACGAGGAAAGCGGATTGGAACAAAGTATAAGAACAAAACATGTCATTTTTCTAATCCCTTTTTTTTGTTAATTACATGAATATATAGATTATTTCCAATTATCCTTATTTGTAAATCCCGGATGCACGTTTCTTGGGAGAAAAAAAAACACACTCCCGGATCTTCCCAACCGGATCTGGTTTATAATAAACCCGGATATTGCTGTCTTATTTTTTCATGGATGATTTGATTAATTTATGATCATTGCTCTACGACTCGAATAATGACATAAGATAATACAAAAAAAACTATTTAAAAATGACTGAAAGCTGGTAATTTCAAGTGACCCTCCATGCAAAGATGGCAATGCCTGATTTACAATCGTAACGTAAAAGATTTGTCTATAATCAAGTATGAATTAGATATCAATGTTTATAATTTTTTTTTTAAATCATTATTTTCAACCGTGTATCTCTGCAAAGGGACTTGCGCATTTCTACTGCAGGAGAACATATCGGAATTATATGAATGTAATACTTTTAAACCTAGAAAAACGACAATATCTTCCAAATTATTGATCAGATAAATGTTTTAAGTGCACCATTTTGAATCGAGCCATCCTTGTATAGAAGGCAACTTGAAAATACGTTACAGTCATTTAAAATATGTTTCTTACCTTAGTGTTGTAATTAGGATTATGTGTGATAGAATATATGTCGTCTATAACATCCCCCGGGTCCTCGCTAACGCTCTCCAGCCTATCCAACCCCGGGCTCTCGCGAACACCCTCCAGCCGCTCCGAGAGGGTCGGGGAGGAATCCCTTGAACCAGACTTTTTAAACGTAACATACTCGGCGTACTCCTGACCAAGCGTCTCTGACGCACTTCTGGAGATGTCGTCGTGGCTGCTGCTACTACGTAGATACGTATGAAGCGTATGCGCCGATTCTGAAGATCGACTTGAGCTTAGGAACTCATGATCACTGTCGTAGCTGGAGTCTTCAGGTTCCAGCTTGCGTCGGTAGGTCACGTGACTGTCATGGCGGAGATACCCGTCACTTATTTTTCGTACAATAGATGGAGCCACTTTCTGTCCTCTCGGCTGACTGGGTAGGCCTAAAAAAATTTAATTTTAAATTAAACTTTTATATTACCAAAAAAATTTATATTTTAATATTATCAAGACACAATACCTGAGAACTGACTGAATGTATTTTCGTCGGCAGACTGCCGATTTGAAATCGTCAGCTCCGGCGGCAGTTTTGTCATGAGAAGTAGATTCTTGGCCTGCAGTGTCTGTTTGTCTGAATGTCTGTCTGTTTCCGTTCTTGAGAGTTTTCTGTTTCCAGACACAAATTGTCCAAGTACTAAAGCTGTTTCATCAACTGTATCACGGCTTCCTGCGCAGTTTATAATAATAATAATAATAATAATAATNTGAGGTTATACGACATTATTAGGTTGAAAGAATAAAGGGATTAGAAAATCTGAGTTTGCTGCAAAAACTCAATTCCTTTCAAACATTTATACCTTTTTTTTTACAAAATTACATATCCGACTTCATATCCGACATATCCGATTAAAAGGAGCAAAATTCAATTCATTATTTGTTTTTCTCCACATAGCTCTTCAAAAAGTTTGTGGAGTTATGATTGAAAACAAATAAGATTTCAATCCTTTTTATTTCACTTTAGGTTTTCGTGTGTCGTCTTATATAAAGTAGAATGCCTTGTCCATTAGCGCCTGATCCAATCAGGGTTCAGTCATGTGTTTGTTTTCTATTTTGAACCAATAAAAATTGCATGGCGGTAACATCTAACTTTCTATCTAGCTCATTATCCAATCAGAGGTAAATCCTTGAATCGGCGCTATCAGTAAATGGAAATATTTAATTCTACTGAAACTATAACTTTAAAGAGGAAACTAGTCGAAAGCTTTAAAGCTTGGGCAAAAAGTTTGCAAAAACTTTATTAAACGACATCCTTCGCTAATTTTGATATAACCTTTGGGACGCGGAAATAAAGCCTATATATATATATATATATACTTGAGGGTTCAGTGGTTTTAACCAATATCAATGCTGTTAAAGTTTAACTAACTTAAAATCATTATTTTGAAGCAAATACTGGGAAAAGGCTTATCGAACTTTAATTACTGACACAATAAAGATATATTTTGACGTTTAAGGTAACAAAAAAAGTCCTGTAATGATCTTTTCTGTAGTTATTTTTTAAAAATCGTTTCATTTTCAGGTAAAACTATACATGGTCAAATTTAGGAATTTTTAAGTGTCAAAGAAAAATTTGTATTGGACAATCTATCTTTGTCCTTTTATTTATTAGCGTATTTCTATATTTTTCAATGTCTATTTGGGTATATATATGAACTAATATCTATCTATCTATTTATCAGGAATATTGGTTTAGTAAGGCTGGTTTTCATTTCCTGTATATACTATCTACCACTACCATTCTTTTTACCCTTGTATATCATGATATATCTTGTACTTCTTGTATCCCTCTGTATCCCCCTGTATCCTCTTGTATCCCTGCATTCCCTGTATCCTCCTGTATCCTCCTGTATCCTCCTGTATCCTCCTGTATTCTCCTGTATTCTCCTGTATCCTCCTGTATCCTCCTGTATCCTCATGTATCCTCATGTATCCTCATGTATCCTCCTGTATCCTCCTGTATCCTCCTGTATCCCCCTGCATCCTCCTGTATCCTCCTGTATCCTCCTGTATCCTCCTGTATCCTCCTGTATCCTCCTGTATCCTACTGTATCCTACTGTATCCTACTGTATCCTACTGTATCCTCATGTATCCTCATGTATCTTCCTGTATCTTCCTGTATCCCCCTGTATCCCCCTGTATCCTCCTGTATCCTCCTGTATCCTTCTGCATCCTCCTGTATCTTCCTGTATCTTCCTGTATCCTCCTATATCCTTCTGTATCCTCCTGTATCCTCCTGTATCCTCCTGTATCTTCCTGTATCCTCCTGTATCCTCCTATATCCTCCTGTATCCCGCTGTATCCCCTGTATCTCCTGTATTCTCCTGTATCCTCTTGTATTTTCCTGTATCCCCCTCTATCCTTCTGTATCCTCCTGTATCCCATGTATCTCCTGTATTCTCCTATATTCTACTGTATTCTCCTGTATTCTCCTGTATCCTCTTGTATTCTCCTGTATCTCCTGTATCTCCTGTATCTCCTGTATCTCCTGTATCTCCTGTATCTCCTGTATCTCCTGTACCTCCTGTATTTCCTGTATCCTCCTGTATCTCCTGTTTACGGTTGAAGTGTAGAAGTATAGGAAGTGTAAGTAAGTATGGCTCAAGGCCACTTGCCTGCCGTAGTCAAGCAGTCATATAGGCAACAATATTATAGGCAACACCTCCCCTCTACATAATAATAATAATAATAATAATAATAATAATAATAATAATAATAATAATAATAATAATAATAATAATAATAATAATAATAATAATAATAATAATAATAATAATAATAATAATAATAATAATAATAATAATAATAATAATAATAATAATAATAATAATAATAATAATAATAATAATAATAATAATAATAATAATAATAATAATAATAATAATAATAATAATAATAATAATAATAATAATAATAATAATAATAATAATAATAATAATAATAATAATAATAATAATAATAATAATAATAATAATAATAATAATAATAATAATAATAATAATAATAATAATAATAATAATAATAATAATAATAATAATAATAATAATAATAATAATAATAATAATAATAATAATAATAATAATAATAATAATAATAATAATAATAATAATAATAATAATAATAATAATAATAATAATAATAATAATAATAATAATAATAATAATAATAATAATAATAATAATAATAATAATAATAATAATAATAATAATAATAATAATAATAATAATAATAATAATAATAATAATAATAATAATAATAATAATAATAATAATAATAATAATAATAATAATAATAATAATAATAATAATAATAATAATAATAATAATAATAATAATAATAATAATAATAATAATAATAATAATAATAATAATAATAATAATAATAATAATAATAATANTTAACTGAACCCAATCCTTCAACCAAACCGGATCCCTATGTAAACCATCTTTTCATCCTATGTCAATCTACCATACTCATCCCCCCCACTCGCCCACTCTAATGATCTTCTCAACTACAACGACCCCCTGGCCCCCCACCCCCATTGTAAAAATATATTTTCAATTCTCAACGTGTAAATACAAAATTAGTACTGCAGAGGCCGAATTTTGTTCAATTCCTCCCTGAAAATGCAGTCTGCAGAACGATTAACTTTCAAAAATCAATCAAATGTTTTCAAACAAAAATATTTATTGCTTTTTGTGGAATTAATTTTGAAAAAAGGGGCCTGGTAAGATTAGGGACAGGGGTGGGGCACTTGCAACAACCAGCTAATTTATAAAAACATTTGCGTTTTTTAATCATCCCGGATTTAGTTGATTTGTAGATCCGGTTTCTTCCAAACCAGAGGAATCATTCAAACAGTCATTACAAGTTCTGCTCACTCTGTCGCGGATTTTTAAATGTCATTTTTGCGGATTTTGTAACAGCAGGGGGGAAGGCATTTTTTTGTGAATGATATTAATAACACAAAATAAATACAATTTATGATACAATCTATACAATGAAAGCTCTTTACTCTTATATATTTATAGTTATAGATGCTCGTTATAGCAGGCCAAACAAAGGGTTGGACCCATAGAGAATAAAATATATATATTAGAGAGGAATTTAAAGAATCTCTCGGTACGAATTTTTTCAGTCCCTTTCAGCCTGATAGATCCCAGATCCCAGATCCTTCAACCAAACTAGATTCTTAAACTAAACCCGATCCTTCAACCAAACCAGATCCTCCAATCAAACTAGATCCTCTAACCAAACCAGACCTTTCAACCAAGCCTGATACTTCAACAGAACCAGATTCTACAAGCAATCCAGATCCTTCAACCAAACCAGATCAACCAGATCCTTTAACTGAACCCAATCCTTCAACCAAACCGGATCCTCCAATTGTACTAGATCCTTCAATTGAACCCAATCATTCAACCAAACCAGATCCTCCAACCGAAACATATTCATCAACTGAACACAATCCTTCTACTAGACCCATCAACCAAGCCTCATTCCACTTTAACCTCATTTCCATGATTTATGTTCACCTTTTATTCTCCTATTCAATCCTTTCATCCTTGAACCTGAGCACCCGCCACTGTTGACCATAAACATATCTTCTAACCCCCACCCTCACCTCATGTCGTCTTTACCATCCCCAAATCCAAACCAAATAATTTCTCCGACTCTACCCCTCTACCTTGACAAAGGAAAATTGAAACAGTGACTTGTTTCACCAAATGAAAGATTAAATCCATGAATAACTTTGCAGACCATAGTAAATTCCACTTTAAAAATCTGGGTTTATATTTTCATAAGTGTTTACAAATGTTTTAAACTGTTCCATCAAACCCTCAAATCATTAATCACACCTTTTTACTCCGACACGGAAAACTAGTAAGTTATACTAATAAATATTCAACTACAGGGTGTCCCACGAAACATGACAGTATGCAGGACGACTTGAATGTAGATAGAAGACTAAATGTCACAAATAAATTCAAATACCAAAGACGACTTTCAAGTCGTCTTCCTATTGTCATGTTTCGTGGGACACCCTGTAATTGTTAACATTGTCATTTAATTTTATTATACCTGCTTTCTATTGCAGGTTTGAAATATATCTATTTACTGATTATTGGAGACTACTGTGTCCAAGTTGAGGAACCCGACCAACGTACCTATTGATCAAAAAACCTATCAACCAACGTACCTATTGATCAAAAAACCTATCAACCAACGAACCATAACCAACGAGCCAATTAGCCAATTAACCTATAAAGACTATTAAACTGGTAAACAGCGACACCTTCCTGTTGTTTTGAATAAAATTTATCTATCTTTCAGCTTGCCCATATTTATCTATCTATCCGAATTAGGTTCATAATATTAAAATTATAAATAGTATAAATACTTCTTCACAGGCTTTTTATTCCCCCCCCCATACCTTTATTCTCCCCCCATGCCTTTATTCTCCCCCCCATACCTTTATTCTCCCCCCCCCCATACCAATATTCTCCCCCCATACCTCGACCTTTCTTTTGCCTTTTGATCTATTTAGTTTACCAATCAATGCAGATTATATAAAAACAATAAATATTCATATTAAAATGTAAGATTTTCATTTTCTCATTTTTTGAAGAAAAACAAAGTATCTCAAAAATGTTATTATTTACATCGGGGATTTCAGATGAGCGTTAATTTTAAAATTAA